AAACACAGTAACATCGATTTGTTGCACTCTTCATGTATTATATAGGGAATTGATAAGTGACTCTGATAGATTACTAGATATACTCTATATATACCACACTCACCACTGCCTCAAGACCCACCCACCTTTTTTCAGTGACACACACTTTCACATAAACAAACAAGTACTAGAAAATCTCTTGAAATTCCATCTTCTAATTCATCAAAAAACATTATACTTAGCCAGAAGACCACTTATAATTATAACATTGATTAAACCCTACTCTTGTGCTAATATATCCTATTCTCTGTACTTACCCATATATCAAGCATTCTTCATTTCCACACAACACTATTTACAGCTATCTGATTTTCTCCTCTAACCCAAAGATCCAGCACCACATGACCTCTACACAACCCTCAAACCTGCACACAATCTATATTTGAAGCAATATGCCACAAAAAAAATCATAAACTTCCATACTTAAGTAGCTTCCCAAGCCTGAGTAAGTAAGAGCTGTGTGGATTCGGACCATCCCTCTTTCAAAGATTTCTTTTTCCCACACGGGTGTGGCCTTGCCAGAGGTGGGGCACCGAGGGTGTGGAAGGATAAGATAAACCACTCAATGAAACAGAGCGTGTGGAAGACGAAGGGTGTGATAATGTAATGGAAGGACGGGCACAGACACAACTCTTGGAGAAGGGGACAGCGGCAGCTGTGGGGTTGGCTTCTCATACTTCATGTGAAAACAAGAACTTTTCGGGGGTGGGAGGGTGGAGGTGGGGAGAGGTCATTACCCTTCCCTTCCCTGGATATGTCTTCTGCAGGATGCAAGATGGAGTTCATTTCAGAGGGGCTCCCGGAAGCTGAGGCCTCCTGGGGTCAGGGTTGGCATGGAAAGGAACTGAACAGTCGCATCTGTAGCTTCTACAATTTTATCAAATTCTTCCTACTCCTTGGGATTCTATTCTTCATCTTGAAAAAGTTTAAAATGCAGACTAAAGTCACATGACAATCTTGCCCGTACCTTTAGGGAAATGAAGCTTTTTTCTCCTTCTCTGTTTAAGTTTAAAATGGTCTGAAGCAAAAAAGGGTCAGGCTTCCGAAAAAGTGGGGGGAAGGGGTTTTCAGTGGTGAATTCTGTCGTGCTGGGGAAGGGTGGAGAGAAAAAATCCAGACACCAAACACCTCCATTTTCCCAGATTAAATGATTATTAAAAAAGCATGCCATCCTGTGTAGAAATCAGCATTCTCTCCCATAATTATGTGTATCTGGGAATACAGAAAGGTCACTGTCCCTGCCCCACATCTTCAAATTAACATTCTCAGGTCACAACAGTAAGTCTTCCCAAAGGGGACCTTCCAGAAGAACAAGCTACTTCCTCGGCCCATATTTCCATCTTTCTGCAGCATGCACCAACAATCTATCCAAGATGTAAATATTGGGGAGTAGGGAGGGCATCCACCAGAAATCCCACAGTTGTTGACAGCCATCAGGTTAGAGACAAGCATGAAAAGATAGGTCAACATACTGACAAAAAAAGCCAGTGACAGCCTGGGAATAACTCATTTCACTCATGGTGGAAACTCCAGCAAAAAACCTTAGGATGCCCTCTTCTCGATAGATGGTCACTATGGAGTCGCCAAGTCCACAGTATTTGGATTCTCTGCTGATGAACTGTACCATTGACCTCAGAGTGATAACATTGAAGGGATGTGTGATGAGGGTAGCAGCAGAACGAGCCATCATCTCTCCAGTCGTCTCCTTAATAACTCGATCAAAGGAAGATGAGGCATCTTTCTGGACATTTCCAGAACTTATTTCCTCAGGCTTATCACAGTCCTGGTAATGCTGCAACACTTTACCGTGGATCACTGTTCCCAGGACCCCAGAGCACAGTCTGGGGGTTAGGCCTGTGAACAGCCCACACTTCCCGTCGATGCTGGCGATGTGTTGAGCATAACAAAAGAGACCAGGAAGCTGACATACTCGCCGCCCAAAAATATTCCGTCCAATTGTTGAAGGAAGAGGCTCATATCCCACCTGGATGAGCACCTTCATGTACATGAGCGGTTGGGACAGGACGGTGAGACCGGAGCCCAGGAGCACCTGACTAGCCACGTCCGCGATGATGGCACCCAGGGACGGATGGACTGACAGACCCACCAAGCGACAGAGCCGGCCTCCACTTCCATTTTTTTTTAGGTTTAGGTTGTGGGTTTTTTTTGTTTTTTTTTGTTTTGTTTTAATCATTTTATTGGGGGCTCGTACAACTCATCACAATCCATCCATCCATCCATTGTGTCAAGCACATTGTACATTTGTTGCCATAATCATTATCAAAACATTTGCTTTCTGCTTGAACCCTTGGTATCAGCTCCTCATTTTCCCCTTCCTTCCCCATTCTGCCCCCCATGAACCCTTGATAATTTATAAATTATTATTTTGTGATATCTTACACTGTACAACGTCTCCTTTCACCCACTTTTCCCCCAGGGAGGAGGTTATATGTACATCCTTGTATGTACATCCCTATATGTCCCCCCTGTCCTCCCCCACCCTCCCACCACCCTCTCAGTATTGCCACACTTAGCATTGGTTCTGAAGGGATCATCTGTCCTGGATTCCATGTTTTTCCAGATCCTATATGTATCAATTTACACCCTCTGATCTAGCCAGATTTGTAAGGTAAAACTGGGATCATATCACTGACAATATTTTTTATTCTTTGATGCCTGATACCTCATCCTTTTGACACCTCATGATATTTCATTATGTTCACAGTTCTTCCATGTGGGCTTTGTTGCTTCTGAGCTAGATGGCTACTTGTTTACCTTTAAGCCTTTTAAACCCTAGATGCTATATTTTTTGATAGCTGGACACCATCAGTTTTCTTCCCCACATTTGCTTATGCACCTGGGCCACTCCATTTTTATCTCAATGAAAACTGTCAAACACTATGAAACTACCTGGTTTTTGTTTGTTTGTTTGGTTGGTTGGTTGCTTACTTTGGTTTGCTTTTGGACTCTTTTGTGCATAGTTTACTTAGTGAATTTTTGTGAAGGATATCTTTTCTTTTTGAACACATTTTGGGTCACTTAGTCCACATATCCCACAATTCAATAGTTCAATCATCTCAAAAAGAGTTGTGCAATCATTACCACAATCCATTTCACAACAATGCCTTTCCCCTGAACATACACTCCTAACGATTAAATCCCCTTTAAAATGACTTTCAGTTCTAATGCTAAGTCCCTTCCCACATTTATCCTTGACTCCTCAAATCCTTTCAACCTCCCCACTTGCACCACCCACCCCAACCCTCAACCTGGATATCCCCCTGATGTAACTGATAAACCTTCACATCAGTTATTATCTCTAGGCATCCACTCCTTTGGTGCTCCACAATAAAGAACACAAACTAAATAAAGTGGGAAGGTAAAAAACAGAGTGAAATATAGTTAAAAATACAAACAGTGAGTAGGAAAAAGGCACTGCCATCGATATTTTTAAAGCCATGCAAGACACTTTGTTCCTGGAACCATCTGGAGATCTCTGCAGCTGGAACCGATTCTTATCAGGCCTGGAGGGAGGTCAGCTGACCACATTCCAAGTTGGAACCAGTATCATCTGGACAAAAATCTTTGTTTGAGAGCAGGGTGCATCTGGAATTTTGCCTGTGGATACAGGGGATCTGTCAGCTATTTCATCTCTGAGTACATAATATGCAGATGAATTTGGTGTGCAAAAGTTGAGCCAAAATTTTTAAAGTAGTTTTCTTGATATAATAGTCAAAATATTACACTTCCATTCTTAAATCACCTTTAGAAAAATTATATATATAATATATATATATATATATATATATATTATATATGAATAAGAGAGGGGAAACACTAGGACCGATTACATATATACATATATACATCATAATCGGTCCTAGTGTTTCCCCTCTCTTATTCATGGTTTGCTTTCCAAATCCCCTCACCCTCTCCATACCCCCCCACTTTCCACGTGCCCCATAAACCAATGCATAATTTATTGTCTATGCATCCACTCCTCCTGAGATTCAAACACCAGGAAACCCAATAGGAACAATAAAAGACAAATACAGCACAAAACAACAAGGAGAAAATAAAATGAACAAAATAATAATATAACAAAACAATAAATATGAAGAGTAAGGAGAAAAATTCAACATTTGAAACTCCAGAGAAGAAATTTCCATCGTGGAATGAGCAAGAAATAGTTGACCCTAGAGCAAAGATGGGGTAGATCCTGAGGTATACCAACTGAACATGTATCATATTATACCATGGTTTAATCCACTGTGATCACGTTGCCCATCATCTCAGGCTGATAATCAAGTTTCTCCAGCCCTCACCAGTGGGGAGAGGGCATCTGTCCAAGGCTTGATGTGACCAGATATTCTGCAGATAGATTTGGGCTTGCACTCTTCATTGAGGCTTCAGCATATGAGATATCCCCAATGTCAATTCCCATGCTTCTCCTTCGTAGGTGGATTCTGTTATCCTCCTTTTTGTATTTCCCCTGGTGTGATTCTTCCCTGTGGACTTAGTGGATGGCTTACATAGATGGCTGCTTGTTTTAATATAAGCCTTTAATACCTCAGAGCCTCTTCCAACAGATAGCAGAGCCCGACCAGCTTTCTTCACCACACTTTTCTCTAGCAACCTTCTCAATGATCATCTCTTCATGAGTGAAGACAAGTCTCCAGCAGGTCCAAGTTCAGGGAGCTTACTATTCTTGGATTGAGGTGAGAATTAAGTGGGATCCCAGAAAACCATACACTGTCTCTGGTTCACTTTGGTGGGCATATGGTGACAAACACAAAACAGTGAAACACAAACAAATCTCAGGGGGAAATAAAACTCAACCAAGAAACAAAAGTGAAAATCACTGTCAATCATTCCCCTGGGGAATAAGGCAACTGCATTGATAAAATCAACAATGTATTCAATGACAAAGAATTTCAGATACCGTTTATATGGGGAGGCTTTGTGAGTATTGCCCACCTTGCAATCTCTCTCTTTCTTTTTTCCTTTTTGTCGTGATGTACTTCCTGAGGGCTTGCCCACATAATGTCAGGGGATGCCTTGCCAGCCTCACTTTGGAGGCAGAGTTGAAGTTTGTATTTATGAGAATAAATGATTTCCTTGTGTGTACTGTTTTGGATTTTCCCCAAGATTTTATTTTTCCATTCCACAACATTAAAAACAAAAAAAGACATTAACATAAAATCACAAAAGCCAAATAGTTACCATAGTATAAAACAATAGCAGAGCACACCCTGCAGGTTCCCTGCCCAGGGCAATTTCTGTCTTTAGCTTCCAGTGTAGCTGGTGGCCCTTTCCTGCCCCAAGAAGTTCTCGATTTGGTCTGCAGATGGGAGATGTAAAGGCCAACCTCTCAGCAAGTTGCTCACAAATCCTCTGGCACTATTCGCTGCTGTGACTGCATGATTCTTTCTCAAATCCTTACCCTCAGCATGCTGGCCCTGGCTCAGGCAGAGTCTTCCCTAGAGAAGAGCCCATGGAGGTTGTGCCTAAGTTTCAGAGGAAGGCAGACCTACTCTGCTTATGAGCACAAGGTGGTCAAGCAGGTTCACCCGGACTCCTGGTCTACCATATGTTTGATTGAATCGCCTGCCAAGCGTCTCACCTGATGCGTTCCAACAAAACGCTCCACCATCACAGCCACGGACATCCATACTGCCATGTGCCTGCTGTGCCTGGAGAGCTGGCCTAACACTCCATGGCCAAGGGCACCATGGCCATCGACCACCACACCAGCTCCAAGTAAATTCCCTAAAAACTCACACCTCTCTAAACCCAAAGACCCTTTTTACAGCCTTACAATGTAATCATTTCCATGATGAGATATGCTGTAGGCAGCCGATGATTTTGAAGTTTCTTTACTGGTATGTGTGGTCTTTCCATATAAACAGATTTTTTTTTCTGGAAACACTCTAGCTCTTTGCTAGACCTGGGCACTTCCCTGACCTGAAGGTCTTGAGACTGCATCTTTCCATATTTTTGTGGTTCAGTGCCATGGAGTGAGTTCTGACCCATACTGACGCTATGCACAAAAGAATTGTACAATGTCTGGTCCTGTCCCACCATCACAATTGTCCCTGTGCTTGAGCTCATTGTTGCAACCACTGTGTCAGTTCATCTCCTTAGCCTTCGCCCTCCTTCACTGCCACTCTGCTTTCCAAAGAATGATGTCCTTCTTCAGGGACTTGTCTCCCAGGACAACATGTCCAAATTATGTAAGATAAAGTCTCCCCATCCTTGACTTCAGGGAGCAAGATGCTCCTCATTCTTCTTCCATGTCTTTGTTGGATATTAAACTTTCACATGCGTATGATGCCTTTAAAAGTTCCAAGCATTGGGGCTGGAGTACCTTTGCCCTCGAGTATCATCCTTGCTTTTAAAATACCTTCAAGAAGTCTTAGGCAGTAGATTTACCCAATGCAATGTGTCCTTTGGTCTCTTCACTGCTGCTTCCATGAACATTGATTGTAGTTCCAAGCAAGGTAAAAATCTAGACAGCATCAACCTTTTCTCCATTTATCATGGTGTTACCGGTTGTTACACTTGTGAAGATTTGGGTCTTCTTCACATTGAGTACATCAATACTGAAGGCTATGTATGCTGATACATACAAAGGCTTGCTGATACATACAAAGGCTTGCTGATCTTTATCAGGAAGTGCTTCAGGGCCTTACTTTTAACCACCAAAGTTGTGTCATATCACAGGATTTTAACAAGTCTGACCCAATTCTGTTGAGTTATTGTTTTTCATATCATCCTGGTTCCCGAAGGATTTACTTAGCATACAGGTTGTATAAGTATGTTAAGAGGGTACAACCTTGACACACATGTTTCATGATTTAAATGCATGAGATATTCCCTTGTTCTCTTTTAACTGTTGTCTCTTGATCCATATAGTGTCCACAAGATCACAATGAAGTTTCCTAGAATTATCATTTTCCCAAGGGTATCCAGAGAGTGTTATGATCCACCCAGTTGAATGCTTTTATGTAATCAACAAAAGACAAGTAAACATCTTTCTGATATTCTCTATTTCGAGCTAAGATCAATCTGACATCGGTAGTGGTGTCTCTTGCTCTGATTCCTCTTCTGAATCCAGCTTGAATGTCTGGCAGCACCTTGTCAATGTATTGCTGCAACTTTTGTTGAATGATCTTTGGCATAATTTTACTTGAATGTGATATCAACAATGTTGCTATATAGTTTCACAATCTGCCATATTATAGTCTGTTTATTTTGCATTCTAAAATCCTCAAGGAAGAAGCATATCCTGAATCCCGAGGGTGTTGGATTGAGCAGACACTGCAGTTACCTGGGTCAGAAGCTTTCCTTCTGCTTTCTGATGTCCATCCTGTGTCTAACTGTGCGGTGGAAAGTGAGTAATGTGAATAGAAATTTCTCTAAATCTTTTTGAGGATCTCCTGGTGGGTGTGGATAGGTGTGTGGTGGGAGGGGGGTGCCAGCACCCCCCACTAATCACGGGTTTGATTTGGACAGATCAATGATACTATACACAAGTCAGGATTTTTTTTTTGGAGCTGATTGATCAGCAGGACCAATGAGGACCCATGCAGAACCTTGGACCTCAATATCCAGAGTCTGTTAAGGCACGAGTCCTCAGCTATTGTTTGTCTGGAATGGCTTCCCACTGTACTATTGCCACTATTCTCACCCTTGTTCATGGCAGCTGTTGATGGGAGCCACAGTGAGACAGTGATGTCCATGGTGGTGTCCTTGCCCTTCATCTTGCTCCTCCTGGAGGACCTGAAGTCATGGAAGCCTTACTGGGACATCTTCAGGGCTACACTAAACAGTCTTGATATCCTCCTTGCTTAGAATATTAAGTGCTGGATTTACAGGCAGAAATTGACACCAACTTCTTTAACCTGTGTTCTGGAGTTCAGTCTAGCAGCTCTGTGTTGTCATCAGAGTTGCCAGAGGCTGCCAAGCCCTGGACTGAGACTCAAAATGGAGATTATTTCCTATCAGGGGAGCAGCATCAGCCCTTGGCCATCATTGAGGTACTCAGATACCTGTGTTTTGAAAGAGCCACCCCGTATGAATTCATCCCTTTACCTGGCCAAGAGAATCCATGTACTCACATCCCAAATTTCTGGGATCATCCTGAAATTCAGGGTGTATGAGAAGGGGGATGGAATGAAGAAGCTACTTGATCAATTTGCCTCTCAGCTGGGCCATCTGCATCAGCTCCGCTATCTCATCATGGAATCTGTCCACTGACTCGAGGAAAATTGCTGCTCAGATTCTTGCAGAATCCCTTGTATACGCTCAGCATAACAGAGTGCGAGCTTTGGGGCTCTGACTTGAATACCTGTCTTCATGTCACAACACCAGACACCTTTGATCCCTGGATTTGATTGGTCTTTCCATGGTTGCCTTAAGTCAGGCCTTCCTCCCACTTCAGGGCCTTAATCACCCTGATCCACTTCAACTTAATTCCCTGTAGCAATTATGGGACTCTCAGTCCGGGGCCTTGCAGCCTGCTCCAAGCCTCTGTTTAAAGCCCAGAACCCTGGTGTTGTGTGGAAACCCAACGTCCATGATGGTCTTGAAGGTCCTGCTGCACCATGCTGTCACAGGATGCAGGTTCTCCGTTAAGGTGCTCTCTGTATTTCAGGATTGCTATGTGGGTCTTGAAGGTTCTCTGATCGAGGCATCTTGGAGAGGTCATGAGGGCACTGAGACTGACCTGATGTCTAACAGGCCCCATTCAATATTCTGTGTTCTGAGTCCTTGTTACAGAGAGTGTCATATGATCATCATCCAGATGGACAGGTGACAAGATAACTCTCTCCTTTGCCCTGTGTTCTCCAACCTAACTTCTGACCCTGAACTTCAATCCCATTTGGCAGATGTTTCCTAAATTAGCGAGGTTTCATTAAGTTTATGAATTAGGTCATGTTTGCTGTGATTAAGATGGATGATGAAGGTGAGGCTTAGAGCATGACTCTGGTTCCCAGCCTGACTGAAGTCAAAGGTTTACTTGCTTCACATCTCATTCCTACTAGGGATCAGAGGAGAGAGAAGCTAGCAGGCAAAGGGACTGCTGACCACCATCAAGATACAGCAGACAAGAGCACAGGATGTGTTTGTAAAGCAAAGCCCCTGCCCTTGGAACATTCTGTAACTAGGCTTCATGGATGCCAAGATGAATAGGATCCCCTAGGAATGTAGGTGCTCCAGATTTTGAAAAGTGAAAAGGAACTTCCCCTACCACCATCCAAGTTAGAACCCCATTGCTACAACCATACCCTCGATTTCCTTTTCCCACCTCCTCAGCCCTTTTAAAATCCATCCACTCCTGCTATTTCTTTCTCTGGTGGTTGTCCTACATAACTGAAGCATGTTATCTTTTGCTTGGCATGGGTGTTTTCCAATGTCTATTCAGAATCTGTGAAGATCTGCTCTACCCAGTAGAAATGGGTATCCAGAGAGGGGGTACAGGTCACCCTCTTTATATTTCCCATATCACCATGTTTGAAGCTTCTCTTTGCATACCTTTCCCACCAGTGATGCCTGATTGGCTGTGTCATCTTGGTTGGACAGTGCTTCTCAGTGCTTAGACAGCTATATCATGATGTTAGTTTGGTAACCCCAGTGGAGTAGGGAATTTAGCCCTAGTGGTGCTGTGACAGACATGTTCGACAGCTAAGGACATGGTCTGTGGGCTACTCCTTCTTGTTACTTCACTGGGAAGGACAATGATAGGTTTATAACCTGAGAAACAATTAAAGGGGTGGCTATCTAGGGTGCTGAATGCACTCCATGAGAGTGATCTGCTTGAGGTAGTGTAAAACGTTATATCTTGGACTCCAAACCAAAAGACAGTGCTTGCACACAAGTCTGCATGGCATAGTTTCAATGACATTCCAGAAGTACATTCACCAAGCTCTACTCAGCATAAAGGGGGTGTAATAATTCGGAGATGTTGTTCATCCTCTATCTTACTGTCTTTGCAGTTGATCTCTGGCATGCTTTCTGTTATGCATACCTTATTTTCCTGTGGTGGGTCTTTTCTGTGTCAACTTGGATGGACCATGATACTCAGTAGATTGGCAATTGTGCCACCTTGTAAATTTGAAGCTCCAGCTACGTGAAAGCTTATTTGTAGGTCTGTAACCTCAAATTACTCCAGCAAAGAAAGATGAGACTGCTCCCATTGAGATTTATAGCATTGGAAGTTTTACAGAGGAGGTCTTCTCAGGCCTACATGGTAGATGTGATGGAATATAGAGTTCATAAAAGGGTGTTTAGTTTCTCTTATATATTATGAATATTGTTTTCCATTTGTATAATAGTCCACCATGTGTGAGCTTATGTGATAAACCATGTCACAAGTGTAGGTTGGAGTACCCAACCCTTGATCCCTTTACCACCCTGATTTTTAGAGGAGTTATTGAGTCAGTTCTAACTCATTGCAAGTCTATGTTGTAGCATGCAGTTGAATCAGAGCAGAAACAAAGACACGGACACGGGGAATGTGGTTTAATATTAATGACGGGCTAACACCTCTGGCTGGATGTCGCGCTGATGGCCGCCCTGCAAAGTCTTTTATTTTCTCTGCTACCTAGGGCTTGGGTTAGTAAGCATGCATGCACTTCCTCAAAGCACACAAGGAACGAGAGAGCAGACTAGTCACTAGGTTCTCACAACAAACTGCCTTCAGGAAACTCAAAGCATTATTCCTGGAGGAGTGCAGTGCCCTCAGTCAGTTCCTGCTCCCAGACCTGCATCCAAGCCCTCTGAAGCCCAGGTTCCTAGACCCCGTCGTTTGTGAGGGGCAGCTTGTGTCCATGAAAACAGTCCACTGCCTTAAGCCTCTGTTATCTCTTTCGGGGCCAACACTATGTAGACCAAAAAGGGACATAATCAGTCCTATGCCATCCTTACAATGTGCTGATGCTTGAGCCCATTTTTGCAGCCCCTGTGTCAGTCCAACTCACTGAGGGGCTTCCTTTATTATTCACTGCCCCCTAATTTCCCTAACATAATGTCATTCTTTAGGGACTGGTATCTCCTGACAACATATGCAAAGTATATTAGACAAAGTCTTGCCATCTTTGCCTTTAAGGAGAACTCTGGACATGGGTTCATAAGCACATGTGCACTTCCTCAAAGTACACAAGGAACAAGGGTGTAGACTAAGCACTAAATTCTCATAACAAACTGTCTTATCAGGAAACTCAAGGTGCTAGTCCTTGAGAAGGATTTGTTTTCTCTTTGGGCAGTCCATGGTATTTTCAATGTTTTCTGCCATTACTACATTCTAACACTTTGATTCTTCTTCAGTCTTCCTTTCTATACACTGAAGAATGTACAACTTTCACATTCATTTTTCACAGGCAATTGAAAATGCTGTCTGTACATTTGTTTAATTTCCTATTCTCAATTGTGTTTTAAATATATTACCATGTGCTAAATCAATGACACTATAAACATAAGTATCATATGCTACAAGGAGATGACTGATAAAGTTCTCTGCCACAAAACAACAAAAATGTGTGTGAGGTGAACCAGAGGTGAATAGAAAACGCAGTTAGGGGTGGATGTGGGTTTCGCACTTAGCCCTAGCTCAATCTAAGAACAATTAGTTCTTATGACATGGCCCTGATCAATATGTGCCCTTTTGAAGGAACCACAGATGATATGGGTGCTACAGCAAAGTGTGGTGAAGAAATTAGATGGTATGTGGCTATTGGAAATAACAGTGTCTGGGGCCGTAAGGCTTGTTTTTAAACAAACAAATGTTACATCTAAGTGTAATGTCAACTAAGCCCACATAGAAGAAGAACACCAGCATGCACGATCCAAGGATTGTCCATAATAACATAGAAAACTGATGGAGAAAATGGTATTAGAGCTTAACTTTTTAAACTCTGATTTGCAGAAGGCTATGGATGACACTTGAAGACCAAAATACATTTGTAGGATCTACATATGGAATAAGCTTCTGGTGATTTCTCTCTGACCATAATTAGGGAAGGGAATAACCTGGCTATCAGACAGAGTATTATAGAGATGATTGTAGTGGATTGAAATAAAAATCTGACTTGAATAGTTAAAAACTTGTCATTTGATCTTGTTTTTAATACTTTATGGATTTGTTTTTCAAATTGAGTTTTGTCTTTGTTGTTGTTGTTATTGTTGGCAGTCTTCTTGACTCTGTTACGAATCTTTGTATATATATTTGGCATATAGAACCCAGCGTGGGTGACTCTATAGAAACTATAACTACATTAAGGGTTCATAGTGGGAGACAATGGGAGGTTGATATCAAGACATATTGTCAGAGCCCGCCGACGAGTCGAACAGTCCTGAAAGGGGGAGTGAGGATTAAGGAAAGAAAGAGAGACAGAAAGAATTGGGAGGGCAACAGTAAATACTGAAGCCCAGAGTTTATTCTACATCTTCCTTTTATACATGCAGAAACAACCCGGGGCTATATTTTCTCATTGTTAAGCAAGCACATTGGATACACATCAACAACTCTATGTTTTTCCAAACCAAGCATCCTTGAGAAAATTAACCATCCTGATTTCCCAGAACTTGCATACTTCCTTGTTCTTTTCCTTAGTCTCAATGTCAAGCCGCAGAAGCAAGCAGCAGATACTGACACCTGAGTTGATATCTTCTCAGCTGTTTCAAGGCTGAATCTTAATGGCCTTCAACAAAATATAAGAAAAAAGCAAATGTTTGAAACTGATAGATAGTCATTTCCATGACA